TTGCCTCCTGCCCCAGCCCCTCCTACCAGCTCATTCAGTTTTTCCACCTCTCACGTGGGTGGGCCAACCTCCCACCCGGCACTTCTGTGGTCTCAGGAGGTTTTCAATACCCATCTTTAAGAAGCCACAGCTGGAAAGGGCTTTGAGCACTAACCAGGTCCCTGCTGCCATTTTGCAGATGAGGAAACTGAGGCACAGAGAATCCGGTTACTGCCCATAGTAGAGGGAGTGCCGGAGGAGGGGAGGGAGGATCTTCAGGGTTGGCCTCGGGGTTGAAACCCAGCCTCCTGGGGTGGGGGAGACACAGCTGTCAGCTCGATGTTAGGGAGGAAACTGGGCCGGAGGTGAGGAGGCCTCTTTGAGGCTCAGTGTTCTCATCTGTGGCTTGGGGACAATAATAGCACCGGTGTTCCAGTGCTGGGACGAGGACTCAGAGACAGTGAGGTGCGTGGTGCCTGGCTCGGAGCCAGCTTCCAGGAGCAGGCACTGTTGCCCCTTGTCTCCTAGCGCCCTCGTCCTAGCCCTTGCCCACTCTGGCCCAGCTGCCCTGGCCTCCTGGCTGTGCCTGGAGCCCCCTGAGCTCCTTTGCCCCTGGCTCCTAGCCCCACCTTGCTTTTCCTTTCTCTTGGGCTGCTGCTGCCACCTCACATTTTTCTGCCCCGTGTGTCTGAGACTCCCCCACTAGAGCTCAGCTTCTCCGGGCAGGGGTGTGCATGTGTTTGGTGCAGTCTGCCCGGCTCCTAGAATAGCAGGGGCTCCGTGTGTTTGATGAATGAATGAGTGAATGTTTCCACCTTGGCCCCTGACTTTTTCTGAGATGTGTCAGATTCCTGCGGCCTGAGCTGCAGTGCTTCGGTCCTGCCTCCACTTCTGGCTCCCATTCATCTTTCTAGCACTTGGCACAACCACCCATCTGCTGGGCCAGCCGTCCCCAGTTGCAGACCTTTGAGCGGGGGCTGCCCTGCTCCTGCCTGCCAAGCAGCTGCCAGCCTGAGAAGGGGCCCTCGCAGGAGCCCAGTGACACAGGCCGTTCTGGGAAGAGCTGGGTCTTAGGTGCCTGCTCCTTCGGAGAGGCCCACCCTGGTGGTGTCCTGGGAATCCGGGGGAGAGCTGAGGTCAGAGGCTCTTGGCCTGAGACTGAGGCGGGTTCCCTGCACTGGGTGTATGTGCGTGGGTGTGAGCGTGGGTGAGACAAGGAGCATGTGTGTCCATGTGAGCCAGAGCCCCAGCCCCTGCTTGGTGCAGAAGGAGATGGTGGGGGGCTGGCGGCGCTGCAGTGACTCAGGGACCAGGGGCAGACGGAGGGCGGATCCCGGGAGCTGGCTGCTGCCCCCGTCCTGAGGAGAGGACCAGAGATTTCCTGCAGTGGGAGCAGCTCTTAAGTCATGTCCCAGCTCCACCTCCTCTTTCCTGGATGAACTCAGACTAGTGATCAGACCCCTCTGAGCTATGAAATGGGCACATGCCCACCTACTTTTTTTGGAGGGGGCAGAAGTGGGAGTCTGTATAGTGCCTGCCACCTTGCCTGGCACACAGTTGGTGCTTAACGCATATCCCAGTGTTTTCACTCCCTCCCTGAAGGGGCCATCACTCCGTGCAGATACCTCTCATCCCAGGAGGACAAGGCCATGTGGAGGGGAGGAGATGGGCCGGCACACCCTGATGTGAGGCAGCTCTGGGGCCTGGGGTGGTGAGGGTGGGCCCTGATGGCCTCATTGCGCCCCAGCCTCCAGCAGCCTGTCACCACCGCTGCAGTGGCCCGGAGCCTTTGGGGGGCAAGGAGGTGGCTTTGCTGCTTTCTACCTCCATTTCCTCATCTGTGAAATGGGCTTAATCAGACCTGCCTCACAAATTAGATGTTAGATGGCCCTCCCTCCCTTTCTCCTTCTTCCTTCCTTTCATCCATCATCCATCTATCCTCCATCTACCTACCTACCTACCATCTATCATCCATCTTCTCCAATCCCCCACCCCGCTGGGTCACAGATGGCCCAGTTCCATGGGTGGTTAACGCTCTCGTCAGTGATTTCCAATTTCTCCTGGGACTCAGTATTGTGAAAAGTTTGAGTCTGCTAACTTTAGTTCCTCTTTCTAAAATGTCAGTCAGCACTCCCCTGAGGGTGGGTGGGGCCCGAATCCCAGCCTCCCCAGCACCAGCCCCAGGAACTGGAAGCTTCCATAGCCCTGCATTTCCCAGAAGCTGCTTGCCACGTTCTGGGGGTGTCCAGGGGGCCCCGGCCTGTGTGGCCCTTTAGTGACCAGAGGCCTGGCCAGGCTGTGGTTTGCCTGTGCTGTGGGGAGCCTTGCAAGTGGAGAGGGTGACCTTTTGTCCTGCTCAGTGAGGGGCTTTCTGTTCCTCATTCTTTAGCTGTGACAGGGATGCATTTTTGTTTTTTTTCTTTTCTCTGTCCAAGAGGATAAATAGGCCTAGAAATTGCTCAAGGGAGGGCTGACCCCCATCACACAGAGCAGAGGAGGAAGTGTGGGGAAGGGCCTTCAGAGCAAGATTCAGACAGGAAGAGACCCTGAAGGGAGGCTGCGGAGAGGCTGCTGGGCAGAGGTCTGGGGGCTGGAGGGGTCCAGCCGTATGCCTTTGGCCAGGAACCCTCGGCCTGTGGCTGGAGAGGGAGAGAGCCCCCTTCTCCCCTACCCCCACCCCCCTTGGCCCAGGCAGGGCCCTTTCCCATCAGGCCCTGTAGGCCTGACAGGAAATCCTCCTCCAGCCCGGCAGGCCCCCCCTGGGCCGCATGCCGGGAGCAGCCGCATGAATGAGGGGCTCCCCTAGTTACTGCGGGGTGCTCTGCAGATGCAGGCTCCCTGAGATCTGTGTCACCCCCCTGCAGGGTCCCTCATCACCCTTGAGCGTGCTCTCTGAGGGGGAAGCAGCAACACTTTGAGGCACAGCCCTGCCCTTGGGGAAGCCACACACGGCAGACGCCTGCAGGGAAAGCCCATTCCGGGGGGCCGTGGGGGGCAGCCCTCCTCCGCAGCCAGACAGTGCGTGTGCCGGAAGCTGAAGAGGTGCGATTTCCCTGGTCGCGGCGCTGCCCTGCCTTTGACCGCCGGGTCCCCTCCATGCGCCCCTTCCCCAGGTCACCTTGCTCTCTGGCGGTGCCAGATGATCAGGCATGTTCAGCTGTGGCGCAGCAGAATCACCTGCGGAGGTTTTCTTTCTCTTTTCTGACAGGACAGCTTCCTGGGCCCACCCTTGAGCTTCTTTCACCCAGTCTGTTGGGTGGGAGTCGGCGTTAGTAACAGGCACCCTGCCCCCCAGGTGCTTTGGACACTGGCCGGAGCCCCACCCCTGGCTGTGGGGAAGTCCTTTCCCTTTCCTTCAGGTGCCTGGCAGCCCGCGCCAGGACCAGACGGGGAGGGGAGAGGATGGGGGCGGGGAGTGCGTGAGTGTGTGTGCGGCCGTGGGCACGCAAGTTCACGGATGGGGTGGAGGTTATCTTTCTAAACTCTGCCTTATGCAGAATGGTTTCCACTTCCCTCGACAGCCACCTGTGTCTCTGTCATTCCCAAAGTTCAGAGCTGACTTCCTGGGGTCTGGGCCTGGGCTGGGTGGGGAAAGGCCCGCAGGGCAGGTGCTGCCATGTTTGGGCTTCAGGGTCCTGGTGCAGGGTGGGACCACTCTGGGGCGTGACATTGTCAGGAAGCCTGCTGCTTGGAATCCTGACTCCTGAGCACCTACCACACGCCCAGCTCTGGGAACAGCAGCGTCACCCCAGCCCGCAGCCTCCGACAGTGCCCGTTTAGTGGAGGCACAGGCCTGTGTACCAGGAGCCCTAAGGGAGGCAGGGCAGGGTTCGGGGTACCAGTGGTTGTGCAGGGTGGGTGGTGGGCAGGGGGAGGCTGCCGTCAGAAGGGACAAGTGGAATTTTGTCAGATGAAGCAAGAGGCTATTCCAGGTGAAGAAGGCAGCTTGGGCAGGAACGTGGGGGAGAGGAGCCGCAGATTGCGGGGCCCCCAGAAACCCCAGGCCTTGGGGGGTTGTTGAGACACCAGGATGGGTCTGGGATGGCCTGCCAGGCCGAGCAGAAGAGGCCGCTGGGTGCCCCTGTTTGCTTGTTCTCAGGGTGGGGGCCAGCCAAGGGCACAGCTGCACAGGCAGGACTTCCAGGAGCCGGATGGGGAAGGAGGTGGGGTGGTGGTTGGAGCGTGAACTCTCCTGCAGCATCTGCAGGCTGGGGGTCATTCTCAGGCAACGCTCATGGCAGCTGGGGCCGCGGGTGCCCTGCCGGTACAGGGGGTCTGGGTGGGTGGGTGCGGCGGCACCTACTGACCAGAGCACCTCCAGGTGCTCTTAGAACAACACCCGGCACCCTGTCAGTGTTCCAGAAATGGTAACTGTTGTCACCATTGTTGTCTGAGGGTCTAGAGCCGTTGTTTCTGCCCTGTGTGTCACAGACGGGCTGTGTGTGCGCACACACATGCACGTGCACCCATGCGCGTTGGGAGGACACGTAGGTACCCAGTTTCAGCACAGTGAGGTGATCCTTTGGAGGAGCTCTCTGCGGCATTCAGAGAGAGCCCGGAGGAGCCTGAAGCAGCCTGGGGGAGTCCAGGAGCGCTTCCCATAGCAGGCAGCAGTTGGTTGGAAGGACGAAGGGGCGATTCCCAGGTGCAGGAAGAAGGGAAGGGGAGGCGTCCTTGGCAGAGGGCTGCATTGTGCTGACACTGTGGGTCCTTGTGATGGAGGCCACTGCCTTTGGGGCAGCTCTGAGGGCCCTACGTCTGCCCCGGGCAGTGTCAGGAGCCAGCGTCACCCTCTGGCCGGGGGCCCCATTTCTCTGCCTGCAGAGGTGCGTGTGCTGCACTAAGGAAGGGAGCGGGCAGGGCTCCCCCTTCCTCCTCCACCACCCCCACCCCAAGGCAGAAGTTCCCATGTCCTTCGTCCATTGTCCGTGCAGCCCCGGCAGGGAGAGAGCCAAGCACTTGCGGCAGGGGATCTGGGTGTCAGGCGTGGCCAAGCTGACGACTGTCGTTGTCCCTTCCAGGACGTGCTGACCCCCTACATCCCGGAGCCCGGAAGCTCATGCCGGCCCAGAGAATACTATGACAAGAGGTCCCAGATGTGCTGCAGCATGTGTCCTCCAGGTGAGGGACAGGCCCGGGTCCCTGACCTCAGACTGGTTCCATTCCTGGGGGCTGGTGCCTTGGAGGGAGTGTGCGAATAGGGGTTTGAGGGGGGACGGGGTCGTGGCTCTTGGTTCTTACTGAACCCCTTCTAGTTCCATGAATCGGCCCTATGCTCCCTCTTGCCTTTGCACACGCTGTTCCCTCTTCCCAACTCCCTTTCCCTTATCCGTTAGACCTCAGTTTAGGTGTCTGCCTCCTCCAGGAAGCCTGCCTGTACTGCCGGGCCAGATCTGCTTCCTCCTTTGAGCTCCCAGTGGTGTCTGCTGCCCCCCACAGCAGTAGCTCTTTTCATCCTGTGCTGTCCTGGTTCCTCTTTGTCACCCCCACTGTGCGTTCCTCCAGGACGGGGACTGGGCTTGCTCTCCACTGACTCCCGAACACCTGGCACCATGCCAGTCATGTACTGTATGCTCAGTACATATTTGACAGAATCAGTGAACGCTTCCCTGTTTCAGACATGGTGGACCTGAGGCCTAACCCCCTGTGGGAGAGCTGGGTGGGTGGCCCAAGGCCCAGTGCCGCCCATTTATTCATTTGTTTATACCTCATTCCTATACCAACAAAGCATCTGCTACATGTCCAGCGCTGTTCTAAGTGCTGGGAATACAAGAGAGAGCAGGGCAAACAAAATCCTTGCCTTCGTGGGTGTTGCATTTTAATAGAGGGACAGACAGATAAACAGAGGAGATAGATGTGTGGTCCCATCAGAGATTAAGTGCTTTGAAGCAAACAAGGCTAGCTACGGCAGGGAGGCAGAGGGGTAGGCCACGCTGTTCCCAACAGAGTGGTCAGGGGAGGCCCAGCTGAGGAGCTGCCACTTGGGCAGGGATGTGCGGGAGGTGAGGGAGTGAGTCCTGCAAGTGTATGGGAACGGCATGCCGAGCAGGCGCCACAGCCAGTGCAAAGGTCCTGAGGTGGGAGCCTGTTTGGTGCACTTGAGGAACAGCAAGGCCAGTGTGTGGCTCAGAGTAAGTAAGCAGGGGCGGTGGTGAGGGGTTTAGATTTTATTCTGCAGCATCCAGGAAGTCGTTGGAGGGCTCTGGGCCATCCGCCTGAGACGCGGGCAGGCACGTACAGACCTGTCACCTCCCACAGCCATTTTAAGAGACTCCAGGGGAAGTGACTTTTCTTTCTTCTATTAATTGGCAGAGTCTTTGTAAGAAGCTACTAGATTAGCACAGCAGTGACTATGGTGACACAGGGCTCAGAAGAGAACCTCCTTAAAAGTTTGCCTTGGTACTCTTCCGTCACCTGGTATGCCTTCTCTCCAGGCCTTGCTGGGAAACTGTACCACGTCCCAGGTGGAGAACTTTAGCCAACTCTAAAGAAGAAAGGAGCTGGCAAACCCGTTCATACTAAAGTGTGATTGACTATAACAGGCAGTTCCCGTGGCAGAATTCTAGGCATCTGGAAAGAGCAGAGGGGAAGATGTGTTATGAGCCATGGAGGTTCGGAGATGGAGAGACAGCTGGTACTTGCTGGATGTGAGATGAGTCGATGGAGGAGTTGGGGCCCCGTCAAAGAGCCTTTGCAGCTAGGCTGCAGAACTCTGGGCTTCGGGGAACAGTGGGAGAGGCCAGGGTCTGGGAAGAAGCCCCTCCACACTGAGACCTCTGGCCCTTGCTTTCTCAGGCTACCATGCACGATTCTTCTGCACTGCTACCTCAGATACAGTGTGCACCCCTTGCGAGGACAGCACCTACACCCAGATCTGGAACTGGGTCCCCGAGTGCTTAAGCTGTGGCTCCCGTTGCAGCTCTGGTGAGTGGGCTCAGAGGGAGGGGTGGTCCCCAGCGTCCTGCCCTGGGCACCCGGCATCCCAGCCCCTTGCAGAAAGCTGGCTGGGATTCCCCCAGGCTCGGTGTTTGCATGCCCCAGGGCATGAGCTTGCGTGGGTGTAGTTCTTTACAGTTTATCAGCGGCGTTTTCCTCCTGTCTCACCGAATCCTCTTCAACAGCCCCGTGTTGCTGGTGGGCCAGGAGCAGCTGTGGGAGAACTATGCCCATTTTAGAGTTGAGGGAGTTGTGTCTTGCTCATGCTATGAGGCCAGACCAAGACTGCAGGGCTTGGGACTCCGTGGCCAGTGCTCTTTTTGCCCTGTGCTGAGCCGGGGCAGTGGGGGCTGACTCACCTGCTAGAGATCTGAGCTCTCTGTGGGTGGTGGGCTGGCTGGGAGGGCAGGGTAGCATGGTGGTGGGTGGGGCCCGTGGAGGTGGGAATGACCCTGGGCCGCCTCCTTGCTCCTCCAGACCAGGTGGAGACTCGGGCCTGCACCCGGGAACAGGACCGCGTGTGCACCTGCAGGCCAGGTTGGTACTGCATGCTGCACAGTCAGCAGGGATGCCGGCTGTGTTCCGAACTGCGCAAGTGCCCCCCTGGCTTCGGCGTGTCCAGACCAGGTATGGGCCTTGGGGCAGAGGGCCTTGGGGCCTGCCTCGGGTCTCTCTTTCACAGGCATCAGCTCGTCAGCTGAGCCTGGGAATGTTGTCGGTGCTGGCTGGTCCACCTGTCCCCCATTTATTCTTTCCCCCAGTGCTCCCAGTGAGGCACACACTGTATGTTAGGCCCTGGGGACCCAGAGGTGCATCAGATTAAGCCCTAAGCTGCTGGGAAATCAAGTGGTGCCACAGGAGGATGAACCCATGTGACACTGCAGACCAGGAAGTCACTAGAATGGGTTAAAGGACAATCCCCCAGCTGTGTGCGTGTGTGTGTGCGTGTGTTTTCAGAGGGAGAGGCATAGACAGAGGTCTGGGGGCCCCTCAGACCTCCCCTAGGTCTCCGGTGCATCTGAGTTGGTGACAGGCTCCCATTTCTTTTTTCTGAAGGAACAAAAACATCAAACGTGGTGTGCGCTGCCTGTGCCCCAGGGACATTCTCTGACGTGTCGTCATCCACAGATACTTGCAGGCCCCACCGGATGTGAGTGGCTGAGTCCTTCAGTTCTGGAGGAGCAGGGAGGGGCTGTCCCTGGGTGACAGAGGGACATACTGCACAAGCACGAAGTGGCTGTGCCGTGGTGTCTGCAGCCCCCACTCACGGCTGTGGGCTGAGGCATTGCCCGAGCTCCGTTCAGTGCCAGGATGGGTCATCTAATGGTGGGTGGGTCCCAGAACAGAGAGCACGGAGAACAGGAGCCTTCCCCCAGAGGTGAGGACTGAGTGGGAAGAGGGGTGGGGGTGAGGACAGGAAGGGGCAGTCTTAAAAGAGGACAGAGCACATACACCCTCATCCCGGCTGCGGGGACCCTTGCCCGCTGACCTGCCTCCCCTGGGTGAGCCCAGCCACCCTGACCCGTTCCATCCTGTTACCCCTGACCAAGTCTCCTCCCCCACCAGCTGTAAATCCACGGCCATCCCCGGCAATGCAAGCAGGGACGCGGTCTGCACTTCTGAGTCCCTCACCGAGACAGTGAAGCCAACCTTAGCCATCAGGCCCCAGCCAGGGTCCAAAAAACCCCAACTCACGGAGCCCACGCCAGGGCCCCGCACAACTCCAAGTCTGTCTGACCCTTTCTCGGACTTGACTCCCCCAGTGGAAGGGGTCATCACAGGGAATATCTCTCTTCCGATTGGTAAGTCACAAGAGGGCCCTTCACCCTTCCTCCCTGCTATCTCAGAGATGTGCTGAGAGCCGCTGTGGGCTGGGTGCACTCTGTCCCTGGATATATGTGGTGGTGGGACTTGTCTTCTCCCGAGACCCGGCATTGTTACTGAGGCCCCTGGGTCGGGAGGGTTGGGATCAACATTTTATCTCAAAGAGGAGATGGTCTCCTGGTTGTTGGTTCTGACGGACCAACCCATTAGGCCATGATGACAGTGTGGCCTGGGCCACAGCACCTCATGGGCTTCCCATCTGGGGTCAGGACCACTTCAGGCCAGAAATCTCCGACGGGTGGCCCTCATGGTGACTGTGGTCCACAGACATGCTTTGTTTGGCACAGTTTTGGGCTTGTTTGTCATTAAATTTGAGACCTTGGGACTGGCTTGCCCTTCTCCTGTGACAGCTGGGTGCCTGGTGTACTTGAATTTGCTTTTTGCAGCTGTTGTTTGAGCTTCTCTTGTCCTCCTAGGGCTGATTGTGGGTGTGACATCTTTGGCACTGCTGACGCTGGTGGCTGTGAACTGTGTCATCATGACCCAGAAGAAAAGTAAGATTCCATTCCTTTTCCCCTTTATCCATCTGTTCCAGAAGCTTCTCTGGGGTGCCTCCAAGGAGTCAGACAGAGCCAGATGCCAGTAGACTCTGCAGGAACTTAGGGTGTGGGGCAGAGGGCTCTTCCACTAACTCATCTACTGAAAGGCAGGACTCCAGTGGGGCTGTCAGCGGGGCGGGAGGCCAGGATTCTTGTCTGGGAGTCCTGGGGGAGCCAGGCCGTCTGGGGCAGGTGGCATTTGAGCTGGGTAGGATTTGGAGGGGGCACGTGTGCAGGAAAGGAAGGACATGCTAAGCAGAGGGCGTGGCACGAGCGAAGCGGAGGTTTGGAAACCAGTAGGGGTGGCGGAGGGGGAGTGGAATAATGTTGAGCCAGCTGGAGAGTTGGGTGTGGGGTCCCTTCATGCCTCGTCTGGCAGGTGATTGCTTCCCCCACGGCTGGGGCTACTCCCGCTGGTTCTGCTTGGGCCCCGTGTTACCTGCCCAGGTAGATCGCTGTGGCCCAAGGAAGTCACTGTCCCTGACTTGTCCTCTCTCTCCTCTTTGCAGAAAAGCCCTTCTGCCTGCAAGGAGAAGCCATGGTGGTGAGTGCCCCGCTGCCTCCCCCCTCCTCCTCCCCTGCTCTCCCTCCCTGTGTCCAGTGGCAGGTGCTGTGCAGAGTGCGGGGAGGCTGAGGAGAGGCCACCCAGGGTCTGTCCTTGGGGGTAGGGCTGCCTTCCATGGGCCAGTTAAGGAGACTGAGTGGGAAATGCCACATTGCAGAATGGGGGGGGGGCTCGTGGTGTCAGTGGCAAGCGTATGGTTGTGGACCTGTGGTGCCACCTTCGGCAGATGTGGAGTGGCTTGTGGCTGTCTCCTCACCTGCCAAGGGACAGTCCTGCTCAGGGGCTGTGCTGTTCACTCAGCCTGCCAGGGTTCTCTGCGTCTCTGTGGTGCTTACACAGCACTTCCTCAAAGAGCAGTGGTTTTCAAACCGAGCGCCAGGGCACCTCCGGGGTTCCACAGCAGGCTCTGGGGATCATCTCTGGGGTTGTGTCAGAGCCTTGGGCCCTGAGTCCCCCCACTGCAACCAAAGCAGCTAACTCACCTCAGTTCTTCTTTTATAAAGTAGGGCCTGTGAGGGACTCTGCTAGAAATACAACTCTGACATTATGTTTTATCCATTCTCCATCGGTTATAAGTCACCGAAAACTTAAGAGTTACTTAAAACCAAAAGGCTCTACCCTTCTCGCATACCGAGAGGCTGAGGCATTGATAGAACAGTTCAGTCGCATCCTCTGGAGAGTCCAGTAGGACCCCGGGCTCTGCCGTCCTTAGTGTGCTGGTTTTCGTTCCTTTGCTTGTGACGTCAGGTCATGAGAGGGTGGTCACCACTTCCTGTGATCTCAGGTTTGAGACGGGAAGAAGAGGGGGAATAGCCAGGGCAGCCACTGTGCCTTCTATCAAGAAATAAGACACTCTCCTAAAGGCCCTGAGTAGGTGTCTCCTTTTGTCTCGTTGGCCTGAATGGTGTCATGTGACCACCCCTAGCTGCAAAGGAGTCAAGGAAAGGGCGCACTTTGCTTTCCCAGCCTCTGTGGCGGAGGAAGACAAGGGAGAGGGGCTTGGAAACAGGTGTGGGGTGAGCCAGTACACGGTGCCCGCTGCCCTCCCGTGTCTGGTAGGCAGGGCAGGGTTTTACCCACCGTTACAGGTGAGGAAACAGGAGCTCCCCCCAATCGCCTCCTGCCCTGCTGAGGCAGAGTTTCCCAGCCTTGGCACCATTGATATTTGGGGCCCGATCATCCTGTTCTTGGGGACTGTCCTGTGCTTTACAGGCTGTTCAGCAATATCACTGTCCTCTCCCCATGAGACACCATTAGCACTACCTCCAGGGAGTGACGACTGAAAATGTCTCGGTGTTGCCAGCTGAGAACCACTGTACTGGGAACAGCTCAGCCCTGGGTGGCCCAGTGCCCGAGGTTTACACAGGGCTTTGGACTCGGTAGGGACCAGGGACTGATGTCAAGTCCTGATTTTGCTGATAAGCAAAGAGGGGCAGCGAGGGGAAGGGACTCGCCTGAGGTCACAGGGCACCATGTCTCCGGACCTGCTCTGCAGTATTTCAGCAGATGTGGACACTGGTTTGGGACTTCAAACTGTTTCTCATTCCCTGGGGTGCAAATGCCACTCTTCCTTCTTCCGGCTTCTGCTCAGTGAAGCTGACAGCTGCTGCGGGGCGGCCCAGAGAGTGGGCGCACCCTGCGGGCTCCCCTGTTACACCCCGCTGGTGCCACGTCCTCCCCCCCCCCCCCCCGCACTGACTGTCCCTCCCTCCCACTCGGTGCGGTGAGGATGTCTCAGGTGTGGCCCCGCAGCCTCCTCTTCCCCTTTCCCTTCCCTAAGCTTCGTGTGCACTCAGTGTAAGCAACTCATCTCCTCTTCTTTTTAACCTCCCCCAGGACATGCTGATTGGTTTTACGTGCTCATTGATTTTAGAGAGAGGGGAAGGGAGGGGGAGAGGCGGGGGAGAAACAGAGATTGGTTCTTCTCATATGTACCTCCGTCTGGGACTGAATCTGCCACCTAGGCACGCACCCTGACTGGGAATCGAACCGGCGACTTTCGGTTTACCGGAGCATGCCCCAACCCACTGGGCCGCACCGGCCAGGGCCCTGCTGGCTGCGCCCTGGGCCAGGCCCCGCACTTGTGCCGTGGCACTGACTGCATCCTCACACAGCCCTGTGGGTACACAGTACAATTACCCCCATTTTACGGAGGAGAAAACAGACTCAGGGAGGTTCTGTTACCCATACCAGGTCAGCCCACTTGGTAAATGCCAGCGCCCAGGTTTGAAACTTGTCTGAATCTGCAGGTTTGGGCAGGCAGACATTCTAGGCTGCCCCAAGCACTTTCAGGCCCCCGCAGGGCCCGCCCTCAGAGGCTGGTCACCACTCCAGATGCCCTTCAGTTCCCAGGCCCCCACCCACTCTCCCGCCCCTGTGCTTAGCCTGTGTTCACTCTGTTCCTCAGCTGGCTGGCAGTGACTCCTCTTGCTGCAAAAGTAACCACAAATCTTGGGGGAACAGTGGCTTCCCTTTTTTTAGGAAAGGTCAGCGTGTTCACGTGGGAGCTCCTGCACAGCCACCCCCACAGACACATTCATGCACAGGCTCATGTTTAACAATGAGAGGGAGCATTTATGAGGTGCTGAATGCATGTGGGGCACAGTTCTGGGCATTGTTTATACTCATAGCCACGCTCTGATGCCTGTGGTAAGATTATTGCTCCAGTTTCATGGTGCAGGAAATGGGTTCAGAGAAGTTAAGTAACTTTCCAAAGGTCACACAGCCAAGGCAAGTGGCCTGGGACACAAACCCAGGAGTGCCTCTCGTCACCACCCTCAGCACGCACATGACGTGCACACATGTGCCCTCGGAGACGATGTGTGCGCTTCACATGCCCTCACCCCTGTGCATGCAGGCCTGTGGGCCTCATGGACACACACCTGCACATGTGGACAGGCATGGACCTTCTGTACGGAGGACCTGCCAGGGCTCTGCGTCGGCACGTGGCAGCGCTGGGCCCTGAGGGGCTGGGAGGTGAGAAGGGGCTGGCTCGCTGGGATCCTGTTTTTCACATGAACCCCTCAGCACCCACCCCCGCCCTGGGGTCCCAGCACAAGGAATAGGACTCAGGATCTATCTGCCCCACTCAGAGCCTGTCTGAACTTTGCAACTTGTGAGGGAGGGAGGGAGGGTCCTGGCCTCTGGGGGTTCTGTTCCCCGAAGCCCTGGCCATAGCAGCGGAGTGTGAAACCCGCCTTCTCTGGGGGTTGTGAGGAATGGCATTTGGATGCTCCTCTGCTTCCTCCCTCCCTGCCTGACCAGGTGCAGAGCAGGGCTGGGAGTGGGGTCCGGTGGCCAAGGTCAGACCACCTGGGCAAGGGCAGCATGAGCTAGAAATCCGGAAATGCCCTGCATCCCCTCAAAGCTGGGGAAGGGTGGTGGCGGGGGGAGCCAGGGAGGTGGGACACGGCTGCAAGCCAGCAGCTCTAGAGCACTGATCCTGGCTGGTCCTGCCCCTCCCACGGACCAGCCGTGCGATGCCCAGCAGGGGACACCCCCTCTCCAGGCTTCCATGGCCTCACGGGAGCTACTTGGGAAGGCTCCTTCCGGCCTGAGCAAGATGTGGAGGGCTTCTGGGGGCACAGGTGCTGAGAGGCCACCGCCCAGGCGGGCGGGCCTGGGGGCCGAGCTGTGGCGATTGGCTGGTCCAGGGAGGGATCAGGTACTCTGCCTCTGCTGGAGCACAGCTGGAGTTGAGGGGTTGGGGTCTCAGCCCTCCCTGGGGAGGGCGTCTAACATGCCTGTGGCCCCCACCCCACAGCAGCCGCTTGCCCTCTGACCCTCATTTCCCCTACCCTGCTGAGGTGTTGTCTCACCAGCCCTTCTCTCCCCCCAGTTCTCGTTCTACCCTCTCATCCCGGGCAGTGGGTGAGAATGTGGCCCGTTCCGTCTTCTTTCCTCCCGGGACCCAGCCATTACCCGGAACCCCAAGGCAAGGGCTTGTGTGCCCGTCTGTCTAACGTGGACAGGCAACAGCCTTGCAGTGGGATTTCTAGGTGCTTCCTGGTGTGCTGTCTGCACATGGCACTTATCTCGGGCCTCCAGAGCGGAAACATGCACCCAGGGAAGGCCTTGTGAGCTATAGCCCAGCTCTACCATGTCCTAACTGTGTGACCGTGGGCAAGTAACTCAACCCCTCTGGGCCTCCATTTCCACTCCTGCAAAGGGAGGGTAGCACTGGCTGTCAGAAGAGTCACTGTGGACAGTGTCTTGGAGGGATGTCAACCTGGTGCTGGGCATTTTATGACACACAGATGTTGGCTAAGGTTGTATTATTGTTGTTGTTTTGTTCATGTCCATGAGAAAAAGACATTAGGGGGAGTCACAGTGCAGCCTGGGGGTGGACTCTGGAAAGGGCCTAAGTAAAAGGGCTGCCTGCTCTGGATTACTGATGCCTCATGGGGGCAGCAAGCGTTTCCTGTCAAGGGCGGGTGGTCAGTGATGTCAGCTTTCGGGCCCCAGGTCTCCGTCACGACCATTCACACCGGCCACAGATGCTGCGGGAACAAGTGGGAGGGAGGGGCTGCGGTCCAGTACAACTGTACTGATGGACACCAACCTTTGAAGCTCACGTAACTTCACATGTTATAAAATACTAGTCTTTAATATTTTTTCAACCATTTGAAAATGTAAAAAGCATTCTTAGCTCGCAGCCCGTACAGAAACAGTGGCTGCCCAGTGTGGGCCTGTGGAGGCAGTTTGCATGTCCCTGACTTAACCAGCCCTCGTGTGGGGCTCACTGTGTAATGGGCATTGTTTGAGCACTTTGCAAATACTCAGCCATTTCATCTTCACAGTAACCCTAGGAGGTGGGTTTCTGTTCTCCGTTTAGGGGTGAAAAGTGGAGGCGCAGAGAGGCTAAGTAACCTGTCCAAGGTCACACAGCTGGGGAGTCATGGAGTCACGACTTGCACCCACGTGTCTGGCTCCAGGGTCCATGCTCTTGGCTGTTAGGCTAAGCCATGTCATCCTTCGCTGGGGGGTGACCTCAGGCGAGTCACACTTCTTCTCCGGGCCTCTGTTTCCTAACACAAATTGAGGATGACAGTCCTGCCCCACCTCGAACACTATGAGGTGAACAGGGCCACCTGGCACCCTGCCCGAAGAGGGCTCCCACCCCCGTAGGACGGCTGGGGGCTCATCCCAGAAACCAGAGAACCACACGTTCCGACTGCACTGTGTGTGGAAAGAACGTGCACCGGGGGCAGAAGCGTCATGTAAACTGTGAGGTGCTTGTGGTGTGGGGTGCAGATGGTGGTGAGGAGGAGGAAGGGGGAGCTGCTGGTGGCCTGACCTCTGCCCCTCCTCTCCTCCCCATCCAGCCTCATCTGCCTGCTGAGAAGGCCCAGGGTGTCCCAGGCTCCGAGCAGCAGCACCTGCTGACCACGGCGCCGAGCTCCAGCAGCAGCTCCCTGGAGAGCTCGGCCAGTGCGGCGGACAGGAGGGCAACTGCTGGCAACCAGCCACAGGCACCTGGCAGGGACCAGGCCAGCGGGTCTGGGGAGGCCCGGGCCAGCTCTGGGAGCTCAGGTAAGAGGCAGGAGTCCGTCTGGCTTCATCCCCCCTTTATGTTTCTTCCTGGTTTCTGTCTGAGCCGTCTCCTCCTGGGCCTTTCCAGGAGGACCAGGCCTGAGCTCCTGGCGTAAGAGCGTTGGTGCGCCCTCCAGTGGCGCCTCCCTACTCCCTTTGGGTGCAGCACTGAGCTGCAACGTTCTTCCAGTCCTCTGACCCCCAGTTCCCTCTGCCTTTGCCCACGTGGGTTCTTTCACCAGGAACACCCTTCCTTCCAGACAGCCCCTACTTGCCCTTCGGGTTGGATATCCAGGCAGGGGTTTTTCTTGTGTTATATGTCTAATATGTAATAGTATTATGTATTAATGCCACAGTATTATGTAACTATTATAGGATATCATTGTTTTATAGTTATGTGGTCTCTTAATATCGATTATATTTTATAGACAAGGAAACTGAGGCCCAGAGAGGCAAAACAGCTTATTCCAGGGCACACAGCTAGTAAAGGAAGAGCCAGGCCTTACCCCGGGTTGTGGGACAGAAAGCCACGTGGATCAGCGGGGCCTCCAGGGCTCCACTGGCCGTGGCTTGTCACCCGGGTCCTTTGGGCCCGAGGCCCCAGGGTTGGGTGTGGGGTCTGGAGAAGCCCCTGTCCCCCCCTTTAGCATCCGCGTTTTGCCCTGAATTTGGACACGTGTTGTCCTGGTCCCTGCAGGGGTCCCCTGGAAAGCCTGGAGCTGCCTTGAGTGGGTTTGGTAGTCAGAGGTCAAGTCTGCTGGCCCGTGTCTCCCCCGCTCACCCAGACGGACTTGGGTCATTTCTAGATGCCCTCCCAGCTGCTCTGGTGCCGTGAGAATCTGAGCCTCAGCTTCCTTATCTAGAGAGGAGCCCTGGCACCTCCTTAGCAGGGCTGCTACAGTCTGTTCTCCCTGTCCCCTGACTTGGGGTCCTTCCTCCCCAGACGAGGCGGCCCACCGTGCTTCTCCACCACAGCCCGCCCTCCACATGTGGTGTCCTGTTGGTGCTCCACCCAGTCTGAGAACTCCCCAAGGGGGCTCGGGTCAGTGCCTGGAAGACAGCAGGCGGCCCTAAACGCTTGTTGAATGAATGAATGAGTGAGCTGCAAGTGTAACTCTTGGTCTCTGTCCACCGGGTGGACTCGCCTTTCTCATCCTTAGCGATACCCATTACACGGCTGTCCTGGTGTGGCCTCGTCCTTGCCCCACCCTGTATGGCCCCCTGATCATGTCTGCCCACCCCTTCTAACCCCTGCCCCTTCTCTATTTCTCCCCTTCCTGTCTGTCTGGCCTCTGCTGTCCCCTTTTCTCCCTCCCACCCCAACACCTCTTGCCACCGTGGGAACTGGTAAACCCTGTTGCGGTCCCCCGTCCGCCCCCGCAGTGTCTCATTTGCAGTGTGCAGAGGCCATGGTGATTTTGGGTGACATTTGGGTGCTGTGGAGACGCAGGGTGGAAATTTCCTCTGGCCCGTGATTTCAGCGCTGCGCCCCTCCCCGTCCCCCTGAGCCTGTTCCACGTTGTCCTGAGAGCTGCTTCGCAGCTCTGACCTCGTCTTGAATGCACTGGAGCTGGGGCAGCTGGGCTGGGGGAGGGCTGGAAAGCAGCCAGCCAGGCCCCCTGCAATCTGTGGGCACCACAGACACTCAGGGCGCTCAGCAGCGCCCCCTAGCAGTAGCAGCTGTCATTTTCCAGGGGCTTTGGTGTGTCCAGACCCTTACGTCTCCTGGCTTTCCCATCATTTGTCCCTCACTGACTAGTTAGGAAACTCAGCTGCTTGCAGGGGGTGGGTGGGAAGGAGGAGAGTGGGGGGCTGGGCGGTGAACCTTCGCCCTAAGGCCCTCCCTGCCAGCTGCATTCAGGTGTGCTGGTCCTCCACGGCCAGATCTATACATCAGGCTTTCAGAGGAAGCCATAGATAGTCCAGATGTTTAAAATGTAAATTCCTGAATTTTAAATGTTGGCAGCCAATCACTTAAACACATGACCGCCCACAAGAACAAAACACACCTGTGAGCTGGTTTTTATTTATTCACCACACGTCTGTTACAGATGGGAGGGACACACCAGGGAATAGTTCCTGTCCTCCTGAGTTGGGAGCCTGGCGAGGGGACATGAATGAGTGCCACAAGAAATGGACTGCAAGTGGGAGGAGCTAGTGCCAGGAGAGCGTAGCAGAGGGAGGGAGGGGCGGAAGGAGTGAGCGATGGGATGGGAGGTGAATGTCTTTTAAAAAGGACAGTCAGGGAGGCTTTTTGGAGGAGGGGGCCTCTGAGCTGAGGCCTGGGTGAAAGGAAGGAATGAGCCATGGAAATAGGGAGGAGCTTTCTAGGCTGAGGGAACAGCATAAGCAAAGGCCCTGAGGCGTGGAGGGCTCAAGGAGCTGCAGGGAGGCGAAGGAACACACCAGGGCTCAGAGCAGCAGGGGACGGGATGGGAGGAGGCGGGTGCCAGGTTCCGAGGGGCTTCGTAGGCCGTGGTGAGGACCTCAGTCTGTCGAACAACCAAGGAGGTCACCTGCCAAGTTCAAAAGGGCTGCTGGTGGAGAATGGACGGCAGGGTGGTGGGGTAGAGGCCAGAAGACATGGAGGGGGGCGCTCTTCACACTGGTCCAGGTCTCAGTGGATTCGGGTTTGCATGGGCGGTAGGTAGCAGGAGGTAGTGAACTTTTGAAGGTGGACCAGGCAGGTATTGCTGATGGATGGGAAGGGGGTGTGGGAGGAAGATGGGTTTGAGGCCTTGGGCCTGAGCAGCTGGGTGGGTGTTGGCTGTGTGAATGGAGACCAGGAGGAGCAGGGTGGGTGGGAGGAGGGGCTGGGATGAGGGTGAGGTGCAGCACACGTGGTTGGCTTGGTGGGGAGGAGCCATGCAGGCTCTGCAGACATGTCAGTGAACAGGACTGTCATCGCTGCCTGTGAGGTGACGGACAGGGTCATTATACCCATTTCACAGCTGAGAAAGCGGAAGTCCCGTGGGTTGAGTGACTTGACTAAGTTTATGGGGACAGAGCGGGGATTCGAACCCAGGATTGTCAGGCTGCAAAGCTGACGACTTCCTGGCCTCAGAGATAAGGACAGACTGCTACCCCTCCCCGTTCTGGAACCCCAGATTTATGATGTCTTAGAGGCATCTCCACCTGGAGGGAAAAGACTTGCTGCGAATGAAGACAACTTACTCTCCACGGAGGAGCAATTGCGAGAACTCGCTTTCTGAGGCAGTGCACAGCTTAGTGTGGTCTTTGTCAGCTCCCACCAAGGACTGGTGTGGCCAGGGCCAGAAAGGGCAGGGGGGTGGTGCTGCCCATCAGCCTCCTCTTCAGATACTTGCAGAGCAGATCTGGGGGCCAGCTGTGGCTTTCCGAGCAGGCGAACATGGAGATGGGGGGCTGCATCTGGTTTTGATGGGAGTATGAACCGTGTATCAGATGGTGCTGAAGAGAGGCACGTTCTAAGACAAAGTCAAGGAAACAACTAGGTCGGGTCACGCTAAGGAGATAATATTGCTCTGCTCCCTAGTGTTGCCGTCCAGAAGTGAGTAATGAAGTGAGATGTTGTCGAGAAGCAAGGCAGTTTGTTCTTGAGCTGTTGTTCTTTGTGGGGAGTATAGTTCTTGAACATTATTCCCGTTGCTTTGATTACCACTGTGTTGCTACCAGATGACAATAAACGCCAGGAGATCGTTCTCATTTTAAAAGGGGGGAGCAATTCAAAGCCTCAGATGTTGATTCTTTGGCACACAGATAGTGGGTCATTGACAGTGCTCTTGGCTTGTCCCAGTTGGTGTGGCCAGTGCTGCTGCTGAGGCCAGGACTGGAAGGTGACTCATCCCAATTGCTTGACCAATATTCTGTAATGTCCACTTCCCGTCCGGGCTTACTTTTGTGATTCTTTGTGGGAAGTATGCTTCCTCTTGGAGCACCTTCACCTGCTTTCTGTAATTGGCTCCTCCCATCTATGGGGTGATTTGAGCTGGGGATTTTTAGTTAGAGATGAGGAAATAGGCACATGAACTTTAAACAACTTGCCCAAGGTTAACATCAGAGCTGGGCTGGAAGTGGGCCCCTCCTGGCCCCTGGCCCAGTGTTTCTCCCGCCCCCATGCCTTAACCTGGCTCTCGGGCCGGAGACGGGTTGTAATGACATCCCTGCTCCCCACTCCCCACCTGACCGTCCTCTCTCATCTTCTGCAGAGTCTTCCTCTGGCAGCCACGGGACCCAGGTCAACGTCACCTGCATCGTCAACGTCTGCAGCAGCTCCGACCACAGCTCTCAGTGCTCCTCTCAGGCCAACTCCACAACAGGGACCCCGGACTCCAGCCCCTCAGGCTCCCCGGAGGACGAGCAGGTCCCCTTCTCCAAGGAGGAATGCCCTTTTCGGTCCCATCCTGGGGCCCCAGAGACTCTGCGGCAGAGCTCAGAGGAGAAGCCCCTGAACTTCGGCGTGCCTGACGCCGGGATGAAGCCTAGTTAACCAGGCTGGCGTGCACCAAGTCACCGCCCAGGTGGGCCGACCTCTGAGCCTTCTCGGCCCCCACCCCCCACCACTCCGGCTCTTTCTAGGCCAGATTCCTTTAGCGGCCTCCACAGCCTTGGCCTTTCTCTCCCCTGCCGTCAGAGGGAGAGTCCTGGAGAAGCTCTCCTTTGCATACGGCTAGCTGGAAACGCTGGGCAGCCCGGGCGGGCCTCTGCCTCTCTGAACTGCCCTGTTTCTGGTTTTGTGAACTTGGCTTCCGAAGCCCTCATTTTATCCCTGGGAGGCCCCAGCATCCTGCCCTCCAGAGGGGCCTGAGGGGCGGGGCAGTGCTGTGTGTCATGTCACCCATGGAGAAGGGGCAGCGTGTAGCCTGAATGTTGAGACTGCAGGGTGGTCCCAGAAGGGGAGGGGCTGCCACCAGATGATGGGCTGGGGGTCCCCCGGGGTTAGCTACGGACCCTGGGACATCACCACCTCCCAAACTCTTTTCCTACCAGTCCCACCTCTCGTGCCTGGCATGAAAATCAGACACCCAGAGTGCCCAGGTGGGCAGCCTGGGTGTGTGCCCTGCCCTGGGCAGATTGGGCAAACCTCTAACAGGAAGTCTTTCTATTTTAATACGTGGCAGTTTTTTTTTTAAAGTAAGCACCACACAGACGAACAAGCCAACAACACAACAAAGCCAAAACCTCAGGGTTTGCCTTCTCTGCCTTTGACCTTCACCCCTGTGCCCACAGCGCCCGCCCTGCCCTGCTCCCTTGCTGTCTGGGTGGGGCTCCTAGGCCACACCTTCTATCAGGGAACTTCAGACCTGGAGATGACCGAGGCCCCCAGCCATCTCTCTCCTCCTACCTCAGCCCGGACCTTCCCCCCATGACTCCCGAGGGGGTGCTCCTGTTCCCCCCAACCTCTTCCTGCTGTTCCTGGAGGCCCAGGCCCCAGGAGAGCTTCAGGGCCACTTTGGTACTGTGCCTGTCACGATCCCCCGTGGACGTGAGATGCTGCGAGCCAGTTTGTCTGTGTGTCTGTGTGTCTGTGGCGTGTCTGTGTAGCCTATGTTGCCGGGCTGAATGGCCTTCCTGAAGCAGCTGAAGCTAAGTTTTGCCAAAGAGTTCTTACCTACTAAAGAGTCAGCCTGATAAACACACTGTGCACACCCTGCAGGGGGTGGGAGATGCGGCCTCACCAGATTCTGGAAAGGTCGTTTGGGTTCGTGCGACTCCTTGAGAAGCCATTTGGGTTCGTGGTACTTGGATCCCTCGTTGAAAAATCCCACTGGATTTTAACTTGGCAGCTGAACTTTCAGAGGGTAGGGGAGACCAGCCATTACCATGGAGACAAGAAAGGCTTCCCACCCTGGAATCAAGATGTGCTTATGTTGCCTGGACCAGCCATGGTCTCTGCCCACATTGGACTCTGCTTGGCCGTGGAGCAGGGCTGCCCCCTGGTGGACAATGCTGGGAGGCCCTCAGGTCACTCACCACGACTCCAGTAGGGCCTGGAAGCCACGGACTGAAAGAAAGGAGACGCTTTCTGGATGTAGCCTCAGCTCCCCAGCTGTATTGACCCCAAGACTATGAGGTTTTGCACTGCATACTGGAAAGCGTTCCTGCTTCTGAATAAACCTTCCCTTTGTCTTGTGCATTGACCTGGCTGTCCTGCTGGTTCCTCCTCACCTCTGCCCTGTGGTGCCTCTTCCCCACCTGCTGGTCCCATTCAGCCTTGTGGCTTTAAGTGCCACAAATATGTCCTGCCAGCCCACGGTGTTTGAAGGGACAAGTGTTTACTGCGCTTTCCGTTCATGTCGGCACTGCTCTGGGTGCCGGGTGCAGCGGCTACGAAACCAAGGGCGTGGGAAGAAACCATGAGCCAACTCGTAGCAAATGGTGATGAGGAAAATGAGGAACATGGAGGACCTTGTGGATCAGGCCGTCAGGGAAGGGGCTGGACAGGTGACAGGGAGCAGAGAGGCCTGCAGAACAGAGGGAGGAACTGAATACCTCCCCCGCCCCACCCAGGGCCTGGCAGGCACAGTGAGAGGGCAGGGGAGGAGCAGTTCTGCTAAGGTGGGCGTGGGGAAAGGGGACTCCCCAGCACGTTGGAACCAGTGGAGAGACTTGGCCAGATCTGTCTTTTGGAAAGACGTCTCCAGGTGCTGGGAGGGGTGGGTTGGGAGCAGGGCTGTGGGGACTCTCCTGGCCTCTCCTTCCCAGGAGGTGGGGTGGTCCCTTCTGAAGCCCCCTTGCTCTGGCTACCGTGGGGGCTGGTGAGGGATGCACAGAGGGGAAGCAGACAGACCACTGATGTGCACACCTCTCTAGTCCTTCAGCTCTCCCAGCTCTGTGCCCGTGAGGCTGCCCCTGCCAAACCACGTGCCCATTCCCGCTCTCTGCTTCCAGCAGGGTTTGCCCTCAGGAAGGCACTGGCAGGAGACTGGGGGATGGGAGCAGAGCAGGCCTAGATGTATTTCCTCCTCCCTGCCCCCCTTCCAGTGGCTTCTACCTGTAACCACCCCCTGCCATACTCTGCTGCCCCCACGCCCTCTTCTGCCCCAACCACCCCTGGTCCAGTTTCCCCTTCTACACACCAGGGTGAAAACAGGTGATTCCGTGTGAAGGGGTGGGAAGGAAAACTCTTCCTGTGTCTCCTCTCCATCTTCTAGTTCTGACCCTTCTGATCACCAAATATGGGCTCCCCGGCCCTGACCCACCCTCTGGCCCCCTGCCACATACACAGAGCGATTCAGTTCCTATGCTGTCTACCTGGAGAGAGTGTGTCAGATCCCACAGGTTAAGGGCTCAATTCCACAAGACTGGCCTCACTTCTGATGCCAATCACAAGTCCAGGCTGCACCTGTGCTTCTGACCCATCATCTGTAAACCAGAGGTTCCCACGCCCCACTTCTTGGCTTTGATTAATGTGCTAGAGCAGTTCCCAGAAACTCAGGAAAGCAGTTTACCCACTAGATCACCAGCTTTTTACAAAGGATACAACCCAGACTCAAGGACAGCCAGATGGAAGAGATACACAGGGCAAGGTTTCTGTGGGAAGGGGCTGGAGGGTCCATGTTCATGACCCCTGGTGGTATTGTGATCTGTACAAGCACAACTTGTTTTATTGCACTTCTCTCTATGTTCATAACCTGGGAGCGCTTGAAACTCTACCCTTCTGGGCTTTTTGAGGCTTCATTGTTAAATGACTGATTAAATGATTGGCCACTGGCCATTGGTTCAAACTCTAGCCTCTAACCCTACCCTAGAGGTAAGGGGGTGGTTGGCTGAGAGTTTCAATACTCTAATTGCATGGTTGGTTTCCTTGGCAACCACTCCCCATCCTTAGGGGCTTCCAAACATCAAGCATATGGATTGCGATACTGACCGATTGATTATTGATATGAATAACAGACACTGGTTTCACCTCCATGGCTCTGGAGCTATTTCAGAATGTGAGGATACAGAACAAGAATTAGGACAAAAGATGGTCCCGGTTCTTGCTCTCCTTAAAAAAAAAACAAACATTGATTTGAGAGAGAGAGAGAATTTGTTTTTTTACTTATTGATGCACTCATTGGTCGTTTCTTGTATATGCCCTGGTCGGGGATCAAACCCGCAACCTTAGCCTATCGGGAATGATGCTCTTAGCTACCCAGCCAGGGCTCAGTGCTCTTACCACTTAGAAACTTCCAAGGGGTTTCAGGAGCCGTGAGCCAGGAACAGGGAAAGAAGACCACATGTGTATTTGGTATGACAGGCGTGCCTCTGAGATGTTGCAGGTTTGGTTCCAGACTGCCACCGCAAAGCCAGTCATCATCTTTTTGCTGGTGGAGGAGCTGGATTTCAATGTATAGAAAAATGCAACACCCAGAAGCACAATAGGGAGAATGTAATAGAATGAGGTGTGTTTGTATGAATTGCAAAACTCGAGGTCTATTTTTAAACAACTAAAGGCAGCCCCTCGTCTGTTGGGGTGACCAGTAAATATGGGCCCAGTGCAGCCTCTCCTGCCTTTTTCTTTTCTTTAACCATCCGGGAGCAAGTGGGCTCTCTCAGGTAGGGCCAGCGTGGGTGGGGAGGGAGCAACTTCTTGATTGCTCTTTGCCTAGTTTTCACCCATTCATCACCATTAGGGAGCACAGCAGTGGATGGACTAGCCACGTAGTCAGGAGTCTGGGCCCTCCCACCCCACCTGCCCAGGGGCGAGTCCTGGCTCTGCCACTTCCTGTCTGTGTGACCTCAGGCAAGTTCATGAACCTCTCTCTGCCCCATTCTCCTTATCTGTAAGATGAGCTTAAAATAGTAGCTCCCTCAGAGTAAGGGATTACGGAAGTTGTTATCTGTGCGATGCTGGGAACCCATGCCTGGCACAGTGCTCAATAAATATTAGCTGCTTTTGTTTTGCACATGTGGATGCGGGGTGTGCAACAGAGGCTGGGACAGACCAGGTCCCTGCTGAAGCTGACACACTAGGAGGGGCTATGTAAAGAAATACTTGTAGCTCTTGCTGGTGTGGCTCAGTGGACTGAGTGCTGGCCTGGTCAGTTCGATTCCCAGTCAGGGCACATGCCTGGGATGCAGGCCAGGTCTCCAGTTGGGGGTGATGTTTCTCTCATATATCAATGTTTCTCTCCCTCTCTTTCCCCTCTCTCTAAAAATAAATAAATAAAATCTAAAAGAAGACAAGAAATACCTGTAGGCCATGCCAGGTGGTGGTAGGTGCTAAGAAGAAAAATGCAGGAACGTAAAGGGACAGAGAAGGATGGGGGAGCTGCTAGTTTGCAAGGTGGGGTGATGAAGGCTTTTCCGAGGAGCTGAACTTGGAGCGGCCTTGGGGACACAAGGTCAGGGAGGGTGGCTGCAGAAGCCACAGAGAGGTTGGAGGGTTTTATTCCCAGTATGATGGGAGGGGTCTGAGCCGGGGTGTGTAAGTTCCGCAGCTCTGCCAGTCTAAGAGTTGGGTAACTGAACTTCGGTTATTTTATCTGCATAATTGCCCTAGGAGATGGGTGAGGTGCCCATTATCCCTGCTTTGCAGGTGAGGACTCTCATGGGCTGGGTTTGATACTTATCAAATGAGTCAAGTAGGATGAACAGTCTGTTTACTGTGGGAGACTCTTTATAACCAGAATTTCACAAGCAAGTCAAAGGGGAAGGGCCCTCTCTTTCTGGACTTCTCTACCCACCAGGAGCTCCATATTCAGAAGCCACCTAGCAGGGCAGCGTCCTGCAAGCTGGGAGGTGGGGCTGAATGGCTGATTGGGGGCAAACCTAAACTGGTGCCCTGCTGTGTGAACTGGGAGCAGCGGCTATCTCTCCCTGGAGCTCAGAATCTCCTCTGCAAGAGAAGGGGCTGGCTTGTGGGCTGTGGTCTCTCCTTTGTCCCCTCTTCCCCCCTGCAGGGTGACAGTACCCCCTCTGCCCACACTGTCTTCATTTTCTCAAGAGACTCTGGATGTATAAAAATAATTTTTATGTTGACTATGTTAAAGTAAAATTTTGGAGATATTTGGTTAAATAAAACATTACCTTTAATTTCACCTGTTCCTTTTCACTCTTTTAAATGTGGCTGCTTAGACTTATGTATGTGGTTTACATTATATTTTTACTGCACTACTCTCGAAAGTTAAATGCGTTCAAGATCTGATTAAATTAATTCATAATTAAAATGACAACTTCCCCTCCCCTGAGATCCCTACTTCCCCTCATGGGGCTCTTATATCATCATCTCAAGTATTGTATAATTTACATATATGTTATAGTTATTGCTTACCATCTGTTCCTCTTGATAGAACATAAACTCCAATAGAACAGAACTTTGTCTATTTTGTTCAGTGATGTAGCCCCACCTGGTTAGAACCATGCCAGGCATATAGTAGCTGCTCAGTAAATGGTGAATGAATAAATGAATGAACGCATAGGAGGTGTGGGGATTCCAAATCTTCCAATTTTTTTCTAGAGAAGTTCAAAGTATAGATTTTCACATGTAAACTCCAGCTTTTAAATTGTCATAATGAATTTAAATTATTTTAAAGCCCTGTGTGGGCCAAAAGAAACATTCTCTGCAGCAGCTTTGGCGGCCTGTCTGCACCCACCATGATCCAGATGATTCTGGAGGCTGATACACACTAGACCCGGTGGGGAGGGGAGTGCTGAGCAGGTGCCCTCAACTCTGCCTGTCTCAGAAAACTTGCCCCTCCTGCATCAACACACATCTCAGGGTCTAGCATGGGTGGTAATTAAGACATGACCCCCATCTCCTGCAGCCTCTCACCTGTTGTGTCTGTGGCTTGCAACTTTGGGGGTCACAGCATGGGTGGGGATGAAGGGAGGACCTTCCCTGTGGCCAACACAACCCCATCCTCTCAGCCAGGCCAGCATTTGACCTCTCTGCATCCTGGTTCTCCCACAACAGCTGTAACTTGTGCTCTAGCAGCTGAAGACAGATGGCTCAAGGCAGGAAAGGCTGAGGCCATATGGGAGAAGGCTCCAGACTTGCAGCAGAGACCTGAGGCGCACCCTGGTCTCCTTTATGACCTTGACTTAGTCTTTGCCCCTTTCTGGTCCTCAATTTTCCCTTCTGTACATGAGACCTTTGTACCAGCTCTGCATTCCCAAACGCATCACCTGGGGATCTTGGGTTTCCTGTAGACTCACTGAATTAGCTTTGGGGGCCAGGTTTTCTCATGGAGGCCTCTTCTGGCCACACCTGTGAAATGAGATGCCCCTCTCTCCTCCCTTGCTTCCCACTGTTGTTCTTTGGCACCTAGAACCGTCTGGTTCCTCACTATTTTACGTTGACTTTGCCTGTTGCCTGTCTTTCCTCCCCTGCTGCTATGTAAGCCCTAGGAGGGCAGGGCTTTTTCACATATCAGCTTTACTGAGGAATAATTTACAGAAAATTGACCAATTTACCAATTTTAAGTGCACCCTTCAATGAATTTGGATGGCTGTTGGACAGGCTTGTGACCACGAAAACCCAAATTTAGACCCATTCCATCACCCTGAAAAGTTCCTTCATGCCCCTCCCAAGGCAATCCCCTCCTTCCACCCCCTGATCCTGGCCACCAGGGATCTGCTCATGCCATTCCAGTTAGGGCTCTTCTAGAATGTCATAGAAATGGAATCACTACAGTATGTGGTCTTTTGTGGTCTGGCTTGTTTTCTCCCCTCAAAGCTAATGCTTCTGAATTTCCTCTGGGCTGGTGCCTGTATCAGTAGTTTGCTCCTTTTCATTGCCGACTTGTATTCCACTGTGGAGGTAAATCGCAATCTGTTTATCCCTTTTCCTGCTGATGGACATTTTGATTATTCCCAGGTTTTGGCTACCATGAATGAAGCTGCTATGAGCATTTGTGTATAAGCCTATGCATGCATGTGCTCTCATCGTCTTGGGTAAATATCTCGGGGTGGGAGGGCTGTATGGTACGTGTATGTTCAGACTGATAAGAAACCGAGGGCACAGGGACTTAAAGTAATACCGGTTGAGTGAATGGTGCCCCTGCACCTGCCTCTTTCATACACGCCTCGGGCACAGCCAGGTGTTTCTGAAACTGGAGGATCTGGACTCATATCCTTCGGCTCTGATGGGCTCCTTTCCATCTGGGGAGTGCAGGGACTTTACACCCACACCTCAGCCCTTCAGGGGAGCCTGTGTTGAGGTTCTGGCAGGTTGATGCCACTTCAGAGGAACCCAGATCTTGCTTAGGAGTGAGTCAGCCCCTTAGCTTAGCATTATGATAGCTGATAATTACTTGGTAAATATACCATTGCTACTCTGCTGTCCTGTGTCCTGCATTTTCTGACTTTTTACGAGCCTGAGGTGTTCTTCCTGTTCCTCTGGTGACAGTGCAAGAGGTAGTATCCATCTTCCTCTTCATTCATTCATTCCTGTTCATTCATTCATTTGTAGCACCTTTGTTGAGTCTTTTCTGTGCCAGGTACTGTCTGGGTGCTGAAGAAACATTTGTGAAAAAGATAAGATCTCTGCTTTCAGGGAACTTTCACAAAGGGGAAAGATTATCTATAAACCAATAGATAATTATCTATAAACCAATAGATAATTTCGGTAGCATTAAGTTCTGTGAGGAAAATACAACAGGGTAGTAGATGAGGAGAACTTTAGGTAGGACGGAGGGGGAACATTGGAAGCAAGGAGTCAACTTTCTGACTCTGCAAACCTGCTGTTGCAGCCACTAACCACATACTCTAGCGAGCACTTGAAATGCAGCTACTTTGAACTCACAAGTGTCGTTAAGTGCAAAATACACACTAGATTTCAAAAACTTACTATAAAAAAACCCTAAAATATTTCCTTAATAGTTTTTTCTGTTCAGGACACACTGGATTCAGTAAAATATATTATTAATTTCACTTTTTTCTTTTCCCCTTAAAAAATGTACCAACTCGGTACATTTAATGTCACTATGTAGCTTGCATTACCTTTCCATTGGGCAGTAGTGAGAATGGCAAATGTAAGGCCCTGAGCCAGGCACTGAAGGATGCCGTGGCAGTGTGGGCCAAGGAACAGTGGCAGAAATAGGAAGGGACCAAATCCAATAGCATCTCGGTGTCAAATCTGTGAAGAAGCAGGTTTTAAGCCTAAAGGGGAAGCCGTTTTAAGCAGGCAAGTGGCATGGTCTGAATTATATTTTAACAGAGCCGGGTGGCTGCTAAGTGGAGACCTGATTGTGGAGTGGGGAGGGTTAGATGGAAGGCCGGACGTTGCAGAAGGAAGAATCCTGGGTTCCAATACTGTCTGTGCCCGAACGTTAGGGCACCCCCACCCCGCTGCAAGAGCTGCCGTCGGCGCCAGGGGGCGCCCCCTCGATGACTCGGCGCTCGGCTGGCCAGGCGCTGGCGCGTCGCCCGCTCGATTGGTCGAGTCGGGGAGGGCCGGAGCGCCTCTTGCAGCGCCATTGAGGAGCGGCGGAGAGGAAGCGCCGCGCAGTGCCGGGCTCGGCGGGTGGCCCAGGACACCGACAGGTACATTATGAGATGGGAATGCGCCGGGCAGGGCGAGGGACCGCAGGGCGGGCGTGGGCCGGCAGTAGGCCACTCCGACTCCGCTTCAGACCAGGGGGTCGGGCCCCGCCCTCCGGGAGCGCGGCTCCCGGAGTCCCGGCCCGGCGTCCGGCCCTCCGGCCGTCGGAAATCCTCTGGGGAGCCTTGGGGCGACCGAGTCTCTGACGGCGCGGAGCCTGCCGCCCTCACCTCCGGGGATCCTTGCGTCCGAGTCCTTGTGGGCACCCCGGCCACAGGCTTGGACAGCTTTAGCCTCCGTGGGACCCCGGCGTCTGTGTCCTGGGGAGTCCGAGGCTCCACCAGAACCGGCACCTTTTCTGGGGTCTTGGTAGCTTGTCACCCTGGAATTGGAGCGGTGTCAGTTCACATCTTACCCCCGACCCTCGGTCTCAATGCGGGACCCCAGTGTGCAAGCCCCCCAACCCAACACCCAAGAATGGGGCGCCAGTCAGTTCTCCAGTGCCCTAACCACCTCTTACACCAGCCTTTTGGGGTCACGCTCTACAGTGGGACGGACCTCAGACCTCAAACCTGCTGTTACTCCTTGCGTGCCGGGGTCACGCCCTGGTTGAGCTCCTCCTCCCAGGTATGGGGTCTGGCGCCGTTCCCACTGGGCTCTGTACGGGAGGTCTCCGTCCCCTGGGGCGGATCTTAGGGTTGTGATAGCGAGGGAGCTGGCCGGAGGATTGTGGGAGCCTTGTCTTCTGGACCCCGTGCCTGGCATCCCGGCCCCCTTTCGCTTCCTATCCGAGCTCCCTGGGGCCAGCCACACTGAACTCGCCGCCTGTGGGAGGGGCGCCAAGGTCCAGTTGCCAGTCCTTCCTACTGCCAGCTCTGGCCACCGCCGGAGGGAGGGGCCTGGCTCAAGGTCACCCGGCTCAGTCCGTGGGCTGAGCACGGATCCCCGGGGTCACCTGCCCCACCGACTGGGGAGGCCGGCGGGGGATGAGTGGGAGGCAGCTGCCTGGAATCCCCGATGGACTTGCGCGTAAACACTTCGGGATTCCAGCCAGTCTGGCGGCCCTTCCCGACACCGGATTCCTTAAGGGAATCCGTGAAGTGGCTTCAAGCCTGGTCTAGATGCTTGGGTCTCAGTGTACTGACCAGGGCGTTGTACCATGCTTTTAATCTGTGTTTTGCATTCTTTCGCCTTCAGGGTGAGTAGAGTAGGGCCGGATCTTGTGTACAAACAACTGACAGTTGTTTTCCTTCACTGCGAGCGCGTTTGGAGTTGGCACTTCAGTGAGAGAGAGTTTGTTGGCATGTAGGGCTGAAGGCAGTGGAAGGGACTTCAAAAATAAAGAGCACTCTGACTTGGGCACCTTGCCCGAGTGTGTTGAGAACCTGCAACTGGAGACTGGGTTAGTCAGGTGCACATTTTGTTTTCACAGATTTACTTGTTTGAAGTGAAAATAAAGGAATGTTTCTTTTACTCAGACTGTGAAACATTATTTTAAAAAGTTTGTTCCTGTAACCAGTTCTTTAAGTAAATATATCCAATAACCTTCAGTAGATTCCTAGTTTTACATAAAATGTAGCTTTAAAAAAAAGCTTTGGAAAGAAATGAGTATTTCACCACATGCTATTTATTTACCTATTCATTTTTACCGTCCTTGCTAACGAATCAAAGTCTTGCCCGGAAGTGCAAAGCACTGTTGACAAACAAGCCTTTCCTGGACATTAACTCTTACGGGGCCTTGTGCTTGGGGTCTTTGTTGGGTGCGGGAGCCTTTCGGTTGTGTTAAGTGTATTTTCTGGCTCTAGGATGTCTCTCTGGAGGAGGGGCATGGTGCTTGGAAAGGATCCTGGGGCGGGTGGTTCCAAGTGGGATGTGGCCACAGCGGATCTGGAGTGTGTAGCGCAACTGGCTGGTGCCCGACATGCTTGGCTCAGACAAGACTTGGAGCTCCTGGTTCTAATTGGGGCCTACTGGCTGAGTGACCTCGGGACTCACACTTTTGGAGTCTCAGATTCCCTCGTGTGAACTTTTTGTAAGACTAAAAATGTGTATGTTTTTTATGGTACTAATATGCACCAAGTATTATAAATAATAATGATAGACAGTAGTAATTTAGTACAGAATGTAAATACTGTGGCTGGAACCAGAGGATTTCTGGTGTTTGTAATTACTGAGGTAGTTCATTGTATCGGCATCAGGTACGAGCAGTGCCGCTCCAGGACATTTAAGAACAGTGAAAACTCACTGTTTTCTCCTTCCTTATATCATTTTACAAGTGATCCCGATGAACAAGTTTGCAGAATTGAGTTAGGGAAGGCTTAAAGAGGATCATTGCAGAATACGCAGTTCATCGATACAATCTCTGAGTGCACTTTTGCCTTAATCTGGGACAGGCTTTCTTGGCTTGGCACTGCTGACTAGATAGCCAGCCCTTTGCTGCGGGGAACTATCTGCAGCACCCACGGGCTCTACCCACAGGTGCCTGTAGCAACCTCCCACTCCCGACACTCAAAAATATCTCTCGACTTTGACAACTCACACCTGGATGAGAACCTGCAGTCCCAGGGTGAGTCACTAAAGCAGGCAGTTTGACGATCAGTTACATTGACAAGATACACAACTTGGAATGGTGGTGATCTGTGACCGTTTCTTGCATTGCGTCAAAATGTGGATGTATTGGTTTGGCCCTTCATTTATTAATGACATCTGGCACCGCTTCTCACCCCATGTTTTCTTAAGTCTGTGCTTTGAATTCACCTACCTTTAAAGAAAGTAGGGAAAAATCAGCTTAGAAAAATCATGTTTTTTTGTTGATTTCTTTTTTTTTTTCCCTCTCAGATTCTTCTGTGACCATGAGAGAGAAAAGTCAAGAATGACCAGTGATCTTTAAACACCTTGTCTTGGGGATATAGTCATGTTGGAAGGGCTTGTAGCCTGGGTTCTCAACACCTACCTGGGGAAATACGTCAATAACCTGAACACTGACCAGCTCTCTGTCGCGCTTCTGAAAGGTGAGTGCACAGGTCTCTTCCTGGGGAGAACACCTTCTCCTTTCTGTTGTCTTCTTGTTGTACTGAGAATGACAAACCATGATGCTCAGATGGCTTTTTATTAAGTATGTGTAAAAGGAAATAATTTCTCCCATACGACACCAATTATTATTACAGGGTAACTTAAGAATGTAGCTGTATTGCTGTAGATTCTAGGGAACTATTAAGTTTGTTTTTTTTTTTTTTTTAACTATACTGCTGGTGAGTGTGCTTTACTCCAGGTAACTTGTAGCCTTATGAAGCTTTCTGGAGGCAGCGACAATGGATGTAAGGACAGTGGAATTTGGAGCCACAGTTTCTGTAGGAAAAGAGGGCAGTACCCATCTCCAGGGCTGCGAGAGGGATCAGATGGAGGGACATTTGAAGCTCCTCTTCTGCTGGCATATAACAGACACCCAGTCGGTGTTATAGTATGTCCTGTGCGGAGCTGACGGGATTCCTGAGGCCTTGTCTCACTTGGTGGTAAGGTGCCGAAAGCTTGAGACATTGTAGTCTTCATAGGCCTGTACTTGGTAAATGCAGTCCAGTGATTTGGGGTGGGACTGGAAGGCTGTTTTTTCCCTCCTTCTCCTTGTTTTCAGTTAAGTTCCCTTTGTTCAACTCAAAGTGGAGCCCTTTAGTAAACCCAGAGAAAGGAGATTAAGTAAGCCTGTGGCATTGCAGAAAGTGGACTGGAGTCTGCCAGTGTGGTGCAGACCTCAGCTTCCTGGAGCGCGGTTTTGGCACGTGGATCAGGGCAGGTTGGAGGAGGTAGCAGTGGTACAGGTGGTGGTGTAGCTGAGAATAGGGTGCCGGTGGCTCCCCTGTCCCCTGAGATGTGGCTTTCCAGGTATTTCCAACTCATCTGGACTGGTACAGTGATTGCGGCGGTGATAGGCTCTGGGCGCTATCACGGGCACACCTCCTCTCCCTTCCCCTTAATTGGAAACAGAAGTGGGTTCCTTCCTAGTCTCCCATTTTCCTCCTGTCCTTAGAGGGTGCAGTTAAATGCAGAGCGAAAGTGACCAGTCTGTCAGGGGAGAGGATGTGTTCCAAGTACAATAGTCATGTCAGGTTCACCCCTCTGGTCACTTGCTGAAGTTCTCAAACACACGATGAAGCAAACCAGGGGGTACAGGGCAGGTACCAGGGCCCAGAAAGAGAAGGGCAACGTGTAGCCTTGCGAATAAAAGAGCTGGCTCTCTCAACAGTGGCATGGGACGAGGATGTTTGCTGAACAAATGAATAAATAGCAGTGTTTGTGGCCCATGATGCACCCTGGAATCTATACTAATAACAGATTTCTAATCTCAGCAGTTTTAGACAGAATATGTCTTGTAAAAACTGTGTGTCTCTCTCTCTGATGCTTTGAACTCCTTCTCTATGCTGCTTTTTTTTTTTAAAGTTCTCTATGGCATTCAACGAACCTGTGGGATTTAAGGAATATTTCTCTGCAGAACAGAAAGATGCTTTTACCTCTGGCTGGTGTGGCTCAGTGAACTGAGTGCCAACCTGAGAACCAAAGGGTCGCCGGTTTGATTCCCAGTCAGGGCACATGCCTGGGTTATGGGCTTGGTCTCCAGTTGGGGATATGCCAGAGGCAACCGCACACTGATGTTTCTTTCATTTTCTGTTTCCCTCCCTTCCCTTCTCTCTGAAAATAAATCACACCTTAAAGGAAAAACAAGATGCTTTCACTTTCATAACCAGCGTTTGTCTGGTGCCCTCTGAAGGACCCAGAGCACACCGCAGTGCTTGGCCCGAAGAGTGTTGGGGCGCCACGCATGGTCTGCTGAGAATGGCTTTGTAAAGGGGGTGACACTGTTGATCTTGAGGACACAGTGATAGGTAGTAGTGCTTGGGGGATGTTATTTCACTCTGTCTGCAGGTATTTACTATTCCAGATGCTTTGGGAGTTACAGAGGAGTGGTCAGGAGTCAGGATTTTGTAGCCAGACTGGTTTTGAATCCTGGTTCCTCCATTCACCACTAACTTGGGCAAATCACCCAAACCCTCCATGTTTCAGTCTTCCTTCCTGTGAACTGGAGGTCATACTAACTCTCACAGGGTCCTGAGGATTAGACACATCGACCTCGTTCAGAGAGATCGGAACTGCTCTTGGCAAATGGGGGGTGAGCTCTCAGTCACTGGGGGTCGCCACCCTCCATCGTCATGGACGTCGCCTGTGCTGGGCTGGTGGGTGGTGGGACTAGAAAGGTGAATCGTGCACGCACGTTAGAAGTACTGAAAACGCTGTGTCAGCGAATGAGTGGTGGAAGGACAGAGACGGCACTTTGTAAGATTTTGCTCGTTCAGTCACTCAGCAGACACTTGCTGAGCACCTGCTTTGGGTAGAGCTCTGTGTTCGGGAATGATCCAAGAGGGAGACTGTAGGAGATACTAAGAACTCAGGCGTGGGAGCTAACCCTGGTTTCACCACTTAAAAGCTATTTGTGACGGAGAGAAAGTTACTAGGCCGCCTCTGCACCCGTCCCTTCTTGCCACCCGAGATCGAAAGATCTAGTATGAACTCTGGCGCCGTCGTCTGCCAGCTCTGTGAGTGTTGAGTGAACTGCTTGTCCTCTAAGCCTCATCTTTCTCATCTCAGAAAGGGAGTGGATAATAGTACCTCCTCATGCTGTCGTGAGGACTGGCTGATGTAGTGCACATGCAGTGCCTGGCACGTAGTGAGACCTCGCTAAATGATAGCTGTGACTGTTATTGCTACTGTGACTGATCCACCTCCACAGTGCCCGCCCTTGGAGGGCTCGCTGTGACCCTGTTGGGGAGGCAGAAGTCACACGGTCACCCAAGGCAGTAT